TACCGCCGCGAATGCACCGCTCCCAACACATTCCGCGTTTTGGCTGGCTTTCAAGGTTCAACCAACTCGAGGTTGACGTGGATTGGCTGAACACTACTAAGAAGAACTACTAATGCACGAGGCTTAGCACAGCAAAGTCAATAGATCTATACTTGACTGATTGTATGCCGTCGCTGAAACGCTAAGCATCTGCAGAAAGCCCAGATCCTAGGGCTTCCTGGATCCTTTATACTACCATGAACAGTTCTTGCTCTTTTTCACCCACAAGATCCAATGGTGGCGATCCCTCCTCTGCATCATCTGCTCTGGTTTGTACATTGCTACAGATCTAGGGTGCGAGGCAGCATCATCTTTCGTGCCAGGGGATCACGGCTTTCAAGAATTATACTGCGACAATGCACTTGATATTTTGCGCGTGGAGACTACTCGCTCTTCTTACGACCTAATATTGTTTTCTTTATCTCGTGGATCCTGCGTTTGGTTCGCATTAAGCAGATTCTCCTCTACGCATCTCGAATTTCGAGTATATTGAACCCGGAACCCGATCAATCTTTAGTTGTTTCTAAGGTTCTTGATATGGAGAACAACATGTTATCTCGCTCCAGCTCAAAGTCGCTATGCAACGGTAGCAAACCTTTTCCGACATCCCATCAATTCATCATGGTCAAAATACGACATGCGAAACCCGCGAAGCTCAACGCCAAATCATGAATTGAAGGGACAAGATTACTCCTGGCATCATCTATTGGTGTGTCCACTCTGGCTTTCGCTTTTCAAGGAAAGCACTGATTCCCTCACTCTTGTCCTGCAGGTCGAAACTTGAATAGTATAGTCCTCTCTCTATCGCAAAACCACTGTCAAGCCCACTTTCGGCTATTTCTTTTGTCAGCACCTGCCATTTTTTCGCGTTGAGCCTGTCTTGAGAGGGCAAACATGTACCTGCGAGAATTGCTTGCTTTGCAAGTGCAACGACCGGTCCAGACTTCTCGGCTATGTCTTTTGCGCACTGTTTTGCTGCTGGAAGCACCTCAGCAGCAGGCAGCACGTGTAGTCCTGGAATGTACGCCGAGAACTGCGTTGCGGGTAAAGATGAGCCAGTCAAGATCAGCTTCATTGCCTAGCTTCTCTGTAAGTTCACGGACCAAAGCCTCCAGCACGCCACCATTTCTTATTGCAGAGTACTAGGAAATCTTACCAAATGCTTCCCGACTAACCGGGTAAGTCGCTGCGTGCCTCCGACTCCTGGAATTGTCCCGACCTTCAATTCGGGTAGACCGAGATGAGCATTTTCAGCCACGAATATCACATCGCACTATTAACGACCCAATTGAGTTGGGCCGCTGTCTTTCACATTCTTTTAAGCTTACCATCAAAGCAAGCTCAAATCCTCCACCAAGCTACGTCTTGTCAGCGCAGGCGGCATAGACTAGATCAGACATACAGCAAAGCCTTCAATGGAGGCAATTATTGGCTTCCTGACTTGCGTTATTCCATCTGAAAGACCTTTGAGATATTGGATCTTGTAGGCTTCTGATGTGGAAATATGCTTCAGTTCGCCAAGGTCGGCACCCGCTATACAGGAGCAAATTAGTTTGTGATTTCACTCCTGGGTTTTAAAGACTCCTACACTCACCGGAAAATGGGCCTCCCGGTGAACCCGTCAGGACTATTGCCCTGACTGAATCGTTCCGCTCTAATGCTCGAAAAGCTGCATTGAGATCGGCAATAAGAGCAGCGGACAGCGCATTGCGCTTCTGAGGGCGATTGAGGGTAACAACTGTTGTGCCATCATCCTGAATGTCAATAAGGATTAACTGGGTGTGGGTTGTGCTTGAAGTCTTTTGATCTTGGTGGACTGCCTTCTGATTGTCATCCATGTTGGTCTAAGCTTTGCCTTCAAAACTTGGGCGCGTGGATGACTTGTGGCTGCTGCTTCCCATACTCCAGACTGAAATTGCCTACTTCAACCTTGCAAGTCACAGCCAGGTGCCACCCTAGCACACGAGCCAGCCACGTTGTTGACTAGGAATGGAAAGCCAAGGGGTGAAAATACTACCTCAGAATCATTAGAGACAATCCATCTCACACCTAATCTGCTCGTTGACACCCACCTTTAGTCAGCTTTTGAACAAGGACGAGTACACCCACATGCTCGGCAACAAGGGGGTAATTGTGGTACTAGCCACTTAAGGGCTGCAAAGCGACTCCGTGAGTCATCCGAACACCAGCTGAAGCTTATTGCCAGCCTGATTATCATACTAGTACAATGGCTTGCATAATCGATACTACGGTATCGGGCCGAAGTGGTCATAGCTCAGTGCTAGTATCTTTGATATTGTACTATTGATTTTCACAACCGCTAAGGTAAATATCTGATAGCAGTTACTGATCGACCCATCTGTATGGCCAAAGATGAAATAAGCTCTCAGAGGATGGGGTGCCGGTTCTATTTTCTCGGTTCGCATGGTGAATCTGGTGTACGACCATATAATATTATTGCAAGATGGCCCACAGGAAGCCATGGGTATTTGTCGACTGTGTGCGGCAGCGGCTACAGCCCCTAGGGGGCATTTCATGAGATGGCAGGAACTCATTCCCTAAAAATTTAGTTACTTCTGCTCACACGCCTACACGCTGTGGGTTCTAGAGGAGTGTGATTTCCAAGGCGAAAAGGGTATACTATGCGTGCTCAGGAGACGATCCGAGCTTGGCAGACTGGAGCCACTAAAATGGTGAGCAGTGGAGTAGGGTCGGGCCTTACTAAGGGACCTCACAAAGGGACCCCCACTCTGGATCAGTTATCTTTGCCTTAGTCCCTCAGACGGGCTTAGTAGGCACAGCCGCACACGTCATGCTTGAAATAGGTGAGTCTTATAAGTAGCCGTTGTCTGGGGACAAGAACCCGTATTTTAGCTAGATTGTCATTCGTTTTAATATTGTATGTTAGGATAAAATGGTAGTGTTAGGATATAAGTGGCTGTATGTTGTGACACGGTCATGCTGTACCACTCTGTCCTTTTGGCCCAATAGACAAGGGGTACGGAACACCCTCTGACAGATAGGATGTCATTGGATTTATGGCTTTGGCCCGTAGATGATGCAGCGGTAAATCTAACGCCTGATGTGCTGTTTCAGTTACAATCCTTAATGATTTTCCATGAAACTAACTTAACAGATCATTATAACTTTAGACTATTTGTATCAAGTTTTACATCTTTAAATTAGTCTAGTCTAAGTTGATAAAAAACTCATCACGCCGCTGAAGCCAGCTAGCCAACAGTAACACCTAGTGGTTGCCATCCACATCTGAATTGCTGACAAGCTGTTAAACTGTTTCATTATGTTCCAAAACCTTTGGTTTGATCTTCGTAGTTTCTAATAGGCTTCCAGAGGTCTTGGCGTTATATAGATTCTGTACAAAATAGTTGTGGAAAACTACAAATTACAAGCTGATACACATGATTTTGGCCCAAATAGGTATAGCCTAATCTATTTGTAGGGTGGAATGACCATCAGTGTGTAACTTTGTTTCTTGACCTCAGCTGCGCGGTGTAGTTAGCATCGGTTCATAAGTGTCTAGCATTTGGATCACTTCAAGATCCGCTCTTTCGGCCTCTTCCCGGAATGTCAACTCGCTTAGTTTCTGTCGCCATAGTTCCACCGAGCCAGGACATCTTTCTACCTTGGTTTTTAATGTCTGCGTGAATTAGTCAGAATGAGTGGAAGTTTGTTCGAAATAGCCGAGCTGAAGCTCTCCAGCTTTCCATCAACAATAACAAGATGACACCGTCTTAAGAGGCGCGTGATATGTCTTGATCCCTCTCCAGGGTTACAGGCGGATATCTTTAGCTTCTCGCGTGTTGATCTCCTCACTCGCGTGGTCGTCTAACATGAATCAGATGTAATCCTTATGTTACCTCAAGAGGATCTTGTCAAAAGTTTCTCAAGACTAGCCTCATTCCTTCAGCTATGCTATCCAACATTGCTGGCCTAGGGCCTGAGAATGGCCTCTTAGCAACATCTCTATCATACGATCGAAGCCTCGTTGCTGGCATCTTATTTAAGTCCAGCCCACCATCATGGATGCCCATGGGAGCAGATTCGAATGCCCACAAACCTGACTGGTTAACCCTGCTACCGTTGCTTCTGTTCTCTTTCCTACCAGACACTCTGCGTCATGGAGACTCAGACCTGCAGCACTTGTTCCACTCCAGGCGTCGACCAGTCCAAATTTATTCGGTTTGGCCAGGGAGTTACTGTTGAGGCTCCCCACAAGCTCGTCCACGATGCATTCAGCAAGACCGCTGGAAGCAATCCTTCAGCTGTGGCCGTCGAACACGATGGAGATCAAATTACTTATGGAGAGCTCGACCTGAAATCGACAAATCTCTCTCGAAAACTACTCGGCCTCGGCCTCTGCCCTCAAGATCGCGTGGTACTGCTAGTGCAACGCTCGATACCTATGATCGTGGCAATCTTCGCTGTTCTTAAAAGTGGTTGCCAGTACGTGCCCATGGATGGAGGGGTTGCTTCAGATGATGCTCTGGCACATGTGTTATCAGAGGCAGAACCGCCCTTTATTCTCTGTCTTGCTAGGTATTCGCAAAGGGCGCACCAATTTGCTATGCCTGGGACGCAAATTCTGTCACTGGAAGACCCCTGGACAACCTTGACCGACTTCGATGATGAAACTGGCCATAAAGTCTTGATGGATCCTGATGATGGTGCCTACATCATCTACACCTCAGGTTAGTGTTGCCTTCAATCGAGAAATCGCATATTCTCAACTAAGAAAACTCAGGTAGTACTGGGAAACCCAAAGGCGTGGACGTCACACATCGAAACGTTACGAATCTACTCACCATCGCTCCTGGAAACCTCGGCATCAAGCCCGGACGCAGAGTGGCCCAACTACTATCGGTTTCATTTGACATGGGTAGGCTACTCTCTTGAACTCTATCATATTAGCTTCTAAGTCAATGGTCACAGCTGCATGGGAAATTTTGGGTACCCTGATTAATGGGGGAACACTGTGCATCAGGACTTCTAACTGGAATGACGTCTTGAGCAAGGTAGTCGCCAGTGTGATAAACTTCAGTTTAAAAACTAAGATACCTGTAATAGGTTGACACAATTATTGCGACTCCAACAATACTCGGAACACTGGAGGAAGAGAAATTTCCAAATCTAAAAACTATTGCTTTGGCGGGCGAGCCTTGCCCATCAAGGTAATCCAGTCACATACAATGTTAATATCCTTTTCAAGCGCTAATCTATTTTAGGCTTGCTGATCAATGGGCTCAGAGTCGCCAATTTTTCAACTGCTGTGGCCCAACGGAAGTCACAATTGTCAACACAATGCACAAGCATCAGCCAGGGCAAATGCTCTCGATCGGTCGGCCTGTGCCAAACACAACGGTCTATGTCCTTGATGAGAACGAGGAACCTGCGCCTATAGGAACTAGCGGCGTCATGTGGGTTGGGGGTTCTTGCGTATCTAAAGGCTACGTCAATCTTCCAGGTCTAACGAATGCTCGGTACAAGGAGGACAAGTTTCTCAGAAATGGGTATGTTTCTTAGCAAGAGATTGATTACACTAATACTTGGGCAGACGCATGATGTTCAATACCGGTGATCTATGCAGGTGGAGAGAAGATGGCACCCTTGAGCCATTAGGCCGACTTGATGATCAAGTCAAAATCAAGGTTCGTGACTAATGGTTAAGGATCTCCCGCGGTGTTGTTAACGTGGTTAAGGGATTCCGGGTGGAGCTGGATGGTGTGTCAGCGGTGATCGAGGTATGCCATCTGAATGGAATGACTCCGACGATTTTAATCCCGAAGAGAGCTAACGTATATTTCACAGTCACATCCCGATATAACAAAAGCTTGTGCCCTAATTGTTGATGGTATCTTGTGCGGCTACTATGTTGCTCCCACCCAAATCAGCCCTGATGCGCTCAAAGCAATTTCTGCAAAGACTCTACCATATTATGCTATCCCCTCGAGATGGGTGTGGTTACCCAAGATCCCGCTGACCTCGAACGGTAAGATTGACAAGAAGATGCTGAAAACGTTACCGGCCGCGCCATGTTCCGGTGATATCACTCCTAAGACGCTTTCCATATCTTCATCCAAGTTGGCCTCAGGCTCCCAGTCTTCCGAGGAAGATGTCACTGAGAAAAATCCGGCCAGAGTATTGGTGGCCAATACTATTCTTTCATTGCCTAGTAGTCAAGAATCTCTGGCTGAGAAGGGGTTCATCTTACCGCCGGAGAAAGGGGCACATAGCTACATGTGGCTGCGTCATTACTTTTTCACGATGTATCGGCGTCTTTTCAGCGTTGTTTTCATCGGAAATCTGGCGACCATTCTTACCATCTTTGCTTACCGTCGGACTCTGAACAATCTGCAACTCTCGGACCTGGCCACTGCCACAGCTTCGAACATCACGGTTGCTTTGCTCATGCGACAGGAGTATGTTATTAATCTCTTATTTACCGTCGCTTGTGCTGTCCCGACCTGGATGCCGCTGTGGATCCGACGAAATTGTGCCAAAGTATTCCACATTGGAGGCATCCATTCGAGTGCTGGTGTAGCAGCGGTTTTCTGGTTTATTACACTCACAGTTACTGCTACAATAGGTCTTGCGGCTCCGGAAGGGACTTCTCTGGGAAAAACTAATCCCGCGATTGTGTTGATCGTATACATAATCCTCGCCCTCTTCATCTCTATTCTCGTCACCGCATACCCATCCTTCCGCGCAAAGCATCACGACATCTTCGAAAGGACCCACCGTTTCGCAGGCTGGAGCATCCTAGCTCTCTTCTGGATTCTCACCGTCCTCAGTGCCGATGCCTCTCGGGGACACCTGCCCCTTTCCAAAGCCCTCACCAGTGACCCGACCCTCTATCTCCTGATCATCTCCACCATCAGCGTCATCCTCCCGTGGCTCCGTCTCCGCAAAGTTCCTGTGCGCTCCGAAGTCCTCTCCTCCCACGCCATCCGGCTGCACTTTAGCTACACCAATACCTACCCGGGCACCGCGATCCGCATCTCCGAGCGGCCCCTTACGGAATGGCACGCTTTTGCCACCGTAGCCAAACCCGAAGTTGACGGCTTCAGCCTCGTGGTCAGCAACGCGGGAGACTGGACGAAACGCCAGATTGGGCGTGCCCCGGAAAGGCTCTGGGTGCGCGGCATCCCGGCCTGCTCTGAGGTCCCCGGAGAAAATCTACCGGGCCCTGCTTGCCGGTTTTGCTGGCCAAGAAAGTGCCCATGCGTGTGTTCTGGTCGACGCCGAACCCTGAGCAGACTTTTGGCGAGGAGATTATCGCTTCGGTCCGGGGCGCGGATCCCCATGCGGTTATCTGGAACACTAGGAAACAGGGGAAACCGGATATGGTGAGGGAGGCTTGGAAACTGGTCGCTGAGTCTGGAACGACGAGCAAGGGGAGGTACGAGGTGGAGGCGGTTTGTGTTATTGCGAATAAGAGGGTCACGGAGATGGTGGTCAGAGGGATGGAGGTTAGAGGGTTGGCGGCTTATGGGGCTATCTTTGATTCCTGATCGTTTATTTCATATGAATTTCTTGTTCTATCAAAATGAGTCGCTGGCGATATATCCTGTATTACTTAGGGTTTTTTAATTCCAAAGATCTGCCCGGATTTCCTTTAATGTATTTGTATGTAGCTCGCTGGGTAATACCGAGCCTTTTTATTTCAAGCTTATTTCTTTTCATTTTTGGTTTCTCACTAAACTCGCTGACAAAGGTTTTTTCCGATTGGACATGCCATATGGAATATTGGTTGCATTAAAGCTTCCGTCAAGACGATGGAAAAGCTCCTCCTTGATGGTGGGAGTAAATATTAGTCTATTTCCCTCATTCTAATTACCTCCACTCAAACCTAAAATCCCACTATCCAACTCCTCTTCCAACCTTCAGGGGGGAAATTTTTATGCCGTCCTCTAATCCTTCCTGCCAATAAACCTGAAATAAACCCCTCCTTCCTGCCCTTCTTACTCCTTTAAATCTACATCCTAATGTAACGAATCGGTATTCGTAAACTAGGGTTCGGACTTAACATAACCGTTCCCCGTGTAGCATGATACGGTTAGAATGTATAAACCAAGTCCTTGTACTGTTATGATTATACTATGATACAGCTAAGACCTCCTTAGCGGTGATATCCCACCTAAAATTAGCCACTTTGAGCCATAGTTATGGTCACATTAGGCTTAAAATGTTGTGACCTGTTCTTTAAAGTTCTGATGAGACATTATGGTTCGTCTAGCTGAGTGAGCCCGACGTGGATGATCTAAAGTTAACCTTTACATCCTGATCGCGCTTGGAGTAAACAATTAGAAAATACGCTAATAATACTGCAGAATGACGAATAGCCGCCAGAAATTTAGAGCACAGAATAATAAGAACCAGAAAGCAAATAGCAGCCACCGACTTCTGACCTTTCTACCAACGACAATTACTAAAAAAACGCCAAATCCGGGAAACATCGCAAAGTAGGGCGCCCAGCCATAATAGAGATTTGTGGTCCAACTCAATATGAACATGAGGTCAAAGAATATCATAGCGCCAAGCCACCACTTCTCATCTTTTGCCCACTGCTTGAAACGAAAGTCCCGCCACCAGTGGCTGTATTGGTTCCAGCGAGTGTCGACATGCAAGTCGACTAGGTCAGAGTATGTAAGCAGATTGATTTTAACAAGAGTCTGAAGTTGAGAGTTGCTGTGCAGCTCAACTTGGTCTGCGTTAATCTTTGATTGCATTGATTTTGACAAGTCGAGGACTGCGCGCTCAACACCGATTCGTCGTGAACCATCAAGACGAGAATGAAGCCAGGAATCGAGGTAGTACGCCCACATGCCAATGGTCCAAGCAAGGAAGGTGATCAGAAAGACATAGAGCAGAAGAAAGGAGAAGCCCCACTTATACATGACCGGGCCTTGTTGCAGACAACTTCCAGCCAAGTTGAATTGTGAGAGATTGTAGAGTGTCTCACTGCTAGAATCCCAGAAAACAGGGTTCGAGACGTTGAAGGTGTGCTGTCCATCATCTGGATTTCGCCAAGCTCGTCCGTGTGGGGTGTTATACCAACCGTTTCCAACCCAGCCAGAAAAATAATGTGCTGCGATTTTCGAAGTAGGGATTGCGAGATGTGCTGAGATGTTCAAAGCAGGACTGAATACAACGGGTGTGGTAATGTTCGATCCATCAGGCTGGTGGAATGTTGTATTGAGAGCAGTTGACTTTCCGAAGAAGCCGTAGTCAGAGACATACTTTGAGACAGCCCACATCCATTTGCAATCAATAACCGTCTGTGGATCGAAGTGTATATTTCCGTCGGTAGGGTTAAATTGAACTATGCGGTGTCGCATGTAGTAGTTGCAACCATATCTATTAAGAAGATCAAGCTGTCCCATATTTGATGCCCACGGGACAACACGCCTAGTCTCGTTAGAAAAGCCGTTCCCAAATCTTGCGCCGTCATGTATTGTATAAATGACAGGCTTAAAATTTTCTGCAGGCGCTAAATTACTCTCCTTGTCTTGAACGAATGACTTGATATCAGCTGTGTAGCCTGTCATTGCGCTAAGCCAAGTCGGTACAAACAGAATGAATAAGCTAGCGATGATCGTCCAAAATATCGCTAATTTAGCACGGCGACCGCCTGTTTTGAAGAAACTTTTGATCAAAACTGCCGTTCCTGTAATGGTATCATTCTGCAAAGTAACAGCTTTGAACGTATCATGGGAGACAGAAGAAGCTTCCATTGTGCGAGAAAGTCCTTTGGTGAATATCAAGTATGAGAAGATGGCTAGAAACGCCTGGCCTCCTCTGCCAACGCCCTAAGTAAGTGAGAAACTTCGCATCACAAACGGATTTGATCGCAACCTACAAGATCCCAACAAATATCAATGAGCTTCGCTTCACGAAACTTATATTTGCCAAACTTGAGATTGATGGCAAAGATTGCATCTTGCTTCCAGGGAGTATATCCATCAAAGGAAAGCGAGAAAGTTCCATCAGGCTTGCAGAAATCGCCAGTATCACCTGTGAACATTTCTGGAGATAGTGACATCAAGACGAGCAGAACCAACATGACCGTAATCATCATAAGCGGTAGAATGTGAGAGAGGAAGCGACGCCCGAGCCAGCCCCACGGGAGGCTCTTTACATCACTCCACGTGTCTTTCCAGAAGAGTTTCCGCAGCCAGGCGGGTCGAGAAGCAACTTTGAAGCCTTTGCAAATGCCTTTGGCCACATGTCGACGCCGGTCTCGATCACTCGGTGCTTCATGATTACTGACCAGCTCTATTTCATCCGCTGCGACACTTTTGTAAGCTTGAGCAAATCTGATCGTCGAGAAGGGTAAAGATTGAAGCCTTGTTTTCGGCGAATCCTCGACATCAGTGTGAATGTCTGCCATAGAAAACGCTTTTAAGATTGAGACGAGCTATTGAGAAATCGCGAATATTTTGAAGGTTTTCGCAATCAGGCTGAGACGTGTTTCAATTGTCAGCATACGCCTTCCCCGCCACAGAACCCTGCTATCCAACTTCCCTTCCGCCCCCACGGAAAGAAACATGCCGTCCACCAATGGCCTTTTTCCACGGAGTCGTGCGTCAAAAGTAGTTGACCTCCCTGGATGTTGTGGCGTTGCTAGCACCTATTAGCTTGAATTAGGCTGACTGACCAATTAATGATATAAGTAGCCAGCATGCAATTAAGCCTTAATCAGCTACTAAGTGATGCATGTCTTATAGGTACTTAAAAGTGATGAGGTGGATGAACTGAGTTCAAGTTTACCCCGACTCGAGAGCGGGTCTGCGTCCCGATCGGGGTTGGCGCCATGTAACAGCGCTGGTGCACTTGGCGTCTTGGATTACAGCTAACTTCCTTTGAGCATAGCTGTTCTGTACAGAGTGGGTTTACATGTATAGATGATAGCGCTGAGCTAACATTACTTCAGGGCCCCCCGTAGTACAGCCAATTCCAGCAAAAGGTGTTACTCATGAAGCATAATCTCATCTTATAAGCCTTATTACCCGTAATCTTAAGCCCTAAACGCCTAACAAGACTCAGGTGACTTAAGACACCAATTTCTACTCGCTAAGTCTAAAATGGCTAGATCCTCAGCTACATCCTAACTAGTGGCACTTAAGTACTTTTGATGCATGACTCCGAAATTCCAATCCAGGTCCCAGAGCAAGGATTAATCTCCTTCAACCCGTCCTCGACCACACATCTGACAATCTCAACCTAAAAACTCCTTCCACAACTCCCCATCTTTTGAAAAGTGATCTGTGTAAGCCCCGTACTCCCAAGACAACATGACACAACTTCTTGAGGACGATAGCTCAGCCCGCCCCTTACACTGTAGGAATAGTCGAAGGGTCAACACGGGAATTGGTGAATTGAAGAACTCCAGCTCTATAGAACGTAAATATATATATATAATTGAACCAGGGCTTGTTCCATCTAGAAACGCCTTTTCCCCACCCAAGTGAGGAAATAACAAGGCGTGGTGGTATCCCGTTTCCCTGACGCTGATGTCCACCGCAGAGCCCAGAAAATGCACACGACTTCCGCCAACTAGTTCCCAAGACCAAGACTATTAACGACCGAGCTATGCAGGCGGGTACCACCCAATTCGATGTGTCGCGTTCCCGTTCCAATGCGTCGGGAAACCCAGATTGTGGGCTCCACCCATTCATCTGATCCCCTGATCAAACCATGTGAGATGCCCTACCTGGCCAGCTCAACCCAGACCACCAACACAGCAACGCCCACTCCCGAGAGCCCGAGAGCGTTGGACTTCCCCCAGCCCCTCCCGTAAAAGCCAAGATACTGGTCGTCGCCGCACCACCTTCATCGCCGTCCCATTCCCCCACCCCACCCCGCCACACACGCTCACAACCCCCACGGTCAACGTCCCAGCCCCAGCAGCACCTGTGGTAACGGCAACAGGCACCAGGCCCACACTTGTGACCTGCGATTGTGACGGAGCCACTCCGCCGCCCGTGACCTGCGTGACAGGGACACCGACCCCGGTGTTTGTGATGGATGGGACTTGTGGGACTGTGACAGCAGAGGTGATGACTGCGAGGTGATGACTGCAGGGTTCCAGGGGTTCCGGAGGTGACGGTTTGGGTGTACGATATGTAAATTGTCGTTACTGGCAACTCCGCGATGGGAGTCTGGACGTCTTGTGGTGTTCCAGCGCTGGGTGAGGAAGGTGGTCTGTGTCTCAGCTAAGCCCGAGACAACCCCCGGCGGACTCGGCACCGAGCTGGGCGTAGGACAAATCATAATCATCTCAGGTACAGCGGTAATAATCGCCAGGTTCTGCGGTATGCTTTGTGTATTGTTTTATAGCAATTTTGTAGAAATTTTTTTAGATCTATTGTTTTTAACACTATTTTCTGTAATAAGTTAGCGCACAGATGCCCGTCAAGTAGCTGAGCGCGGCGGAAATTTCTTCTGCGCTGGCGCCCCATGCCTAGACGCAGCTGATTACGGCGTTGGTGAAGTCGGCGCTAGGGCAGTAGCATGAGGAGTCTGAGTTGGAGGTGCAAGCGGGTACCAGGGAGAGCCAGGTGTTAAGGCAGGAGGGGAGGAGTTTGGGGCAGGGTGCGTTGGAGGGTTGATAAAGAGGGCGAGGAAGAGGAGGAGAATGCAGGCCCTGGGAGGACTAAGGTCGAGACGGATACAGAGTTGGTTTCGGTGATTGCTTTTTCAGGGGATGGCGTTGTGGCGGGTAGTGCGGAGTTTGAGGTCGCTGGTGCTGGTGCTGTGGTTAAGGCGGTAGGGGATGCTTCTGTACATTTGGTATAGGTTTAAATCCAATCCAAAGTCACTACTCACTGCATCAACGACTTCCTTCTTTCACCAACCATGCAGCATTATTTCCCCAAGACCGAATCTCCTTCCTGCGCTAATCCCTCTCCCGCGCAGCAATCACCCTACATAGCCCTATGTCTGTCTTTCTGATTCCACAACGTTGCTCAAAGCCAGCATGATCTATTGTGATTTGTTCCTAAGAACCCGGGGGCTAAGCGATTATGACCCTTTTTTTGCATGTATAGTCGAGAGCTTGGTATTGTCGAAGTTGTAATCTATAACGAGAGGACAATGCAGCGTTCTATGAGAGATATGATAGCCGTCAATTAGAATCGGTAGCTTTTAAGACTGTGCTTGGGCCCTTGTCACTTGAAGATCTTGCGGATCAGCCTTTAAGGAAGGGTGTTGATTGAGACGTAGCTTTTGACTACGTCTTGCTAGAGATTTGGTAGCTGTGTATTGATACAGAACAGGCTTCCCGGAGCCAAAGTCGTACCATATCTGGCATGAGTGAGGAAATTGTACTCTCGTCTTCAAACGCCGTATGACACCCTTTTGCACTACTCCGTATACGCCTTTACATTACCCCTGGGCCTGGACCAAAAATCTTATCAGCGTCCGTGGAGCCCAGGATACGGTTGTCATCCCAATCGTACGCAAAGGAGAAAGAGTCCGGCTTCGAGAGACCGAGCCATTGGCCCGCCGCAACGAGGGCCAGGATGAGTGTGAGGGAGGTGAGGACAAAGCTTGCGATCGCCACACCGGTGGATGGGTCGGACTGCACGACAGCATAGGCGGTACCGGCACCTGCGCTGACGAGAATGAGGAGGATAAGGAGGACGTAAATCTTGCTGATAGAGGGGGATGTAAGCCGCTAAGGACATCCATGGTGGGCTTCAAGGACGCTTGGGCTGGGAGACATGGAATGACCACGCAAAACGTGAGCACTGGGGTCTAGGGGCTTACCTGGTGTCGAATGTTTCCTTAATTTCCACCACGTAGAAGCAATGTTCGTCATCTTGTGTGGTACCTGCTAGACGATCCAGGAGGAAGAGCATCATTTTTGCGTCTCTAAGCGGATATTTCATGGAGTAGAGGAAGTGCGAGACCGCTTCACCCCCAGCAGATACCGCCGGCACTTTCGCGGTGACGACAAAGTTGCCAGTGTCTGCGCCTCTCTTGACGGTACGTTCGAACTAGTCGCTCATGTAAGAGGGTGATGATCTCGCAGAAAAGGCTTTCGGACAAGTGCATACTCGGATAAACGTTGCGAAACCAATTGTCTTCATTCGAATCAGATCCTCAAACGCGCTTCGTTGTCGACGATTGATCATCCAATAATGCTGCTGCAACTTTGCGACCAGCCACATATCGGAAAGTTGGTCTGCATTCACGGCTGGCTGATTCTCGCCAAGTTCTTGGAATGTTATGTATGGCTCTGGTTTCCGGCTTGATATGACTTTTCCCTTGCTGGTGTGAAAAAAGTAGAGGCTGTTACCCAGTAAGATCGAGCTTAGTCCGAAGACTCTTCTGTTTGAAGCTGAAGAAGTACTCACACTATGTATTTTGAGGAAGTTTCATAGTCGCCTTTCTGAATTACGCCTGCTAATATAGAGCTCGTTTTGGTGAGAGGCTGTCGGATACTACCTCCCCGCATTCGAACGAGTTGGTGAACATCTCCATCGGAATCTTCATCAAAATTGTGGTCAGCGCCATGCCCACCACGGATAATAATTTGACGGGTGTGGGGGCTTCTGGCAATGCGGGTGCGATTCAACCTAACATTGTGAGTACGATCTATTTGCACGATGCGATTGCGGACTTCCCGGGACCGTTGCCGGCTTGGCCGCTGTACGCGAACATCGTCTTCCTCGGACGGCAAGGGAGCAAACTCTCGGTCGTCTTCATCTTCCGGTGCATCCTCTACAGTCGGCCGCGGCGGTCTGTGAGCTTCTTGATCTTGCCAGCGTCTATGGTCTTGGCGAATGTGCAGCTCTGCTGGGTAGGCTGGGGGAGGAACTCCATGAGCTTCGGTCCAGCTGGCGCTCCAGCTGGTGGAGGTACGACCGACTCACGCCCGGACTCATAGTTGTGCTCATGGACGACGACGACGTGAGGTGGTGACCTTGACCTTGGCCTGCGGACTAATCGTGGCCGATCGATGAAATAAGTAGGTTCCGGGTAGTAGGGCCGATACTCTTCTCGCCTGTTTGGATCGTACTCTTCAGCGCGTACGAAGCGCCACTCGTCATTCTCGATCACCTGAAGTGGTATCCAGGCTCGATTGTCTCTGCGCACTGCTGGTGGATGGCGACCGTCTGGCCGTGCTCTGTAGACTTCTGGGTGGCTCCCAGATGGCCCTCCACTAGGTGGCCGATGTGGAGGTCTCCCACCTAAGCCATCATCTCCATCATAGCGATCATCGTCGGAAGACCCGGACGAAGACGGTAGAGGCCCGTGATGCCTGGAGTTAAAGCGTTGTCTTCTCCTGGTGGCTTCAGCGCGATCTCCATAACGACTTTCGCTTCTCCATTTTTTCTCTTCCTCCATTTTTGTTTTGGCAGCTAAGTAAGCGCCTCGTCCCTCACCAGTAGCAACGTAGAGCCTTAGTAAGCACTCAACCTCAGGAAAAGAGGGGAGATTTCGCTGTAGACGATTTGCTTGCAAGACCATCTCCTGCGCCATCTCAGTCGCCGGATTGTCGGCCACCGCATAGCTCCTCCGTCGACGACTCTCTCGCACCCAAGCGCCTGAAGTTCGATGCTCCCTACGACGAGGTGCACGAACCCACTGGAGCTCACCATCTGGTCGCCGCTCGACATACTCTCTTCGGTCAACAAACTCCATCTAGTAGGGCCGCGCGCAAGCTCAGTATCATCACTATGGCGACGATTGAATTAGGGAAGCATGAACGAGGCTGACAGCTAGTAGCTGAAGTGGATCACGAGTCCGTTAGGCTTAGTCAGGCAGCAGATGCTTGCAAGCCACATCTTTTCAGCTGCATGCAATGAGCACCTTTATGGCACGCCATTGCATGCATGTTTCAATCCTCTTGGACTGTGCGTTCCCCTGGGAGATTGTCGTGATTTTGTTGTTGGTCGGGGCCTATGACCAGGGTGTCCATTTGAATCAAATTGGGTCAAATAGACCAAATCAAATGCTTGGCAAATAAATCAAATCCATGCTTTCATCAAATCAAATCAGGACTTTAGATTTGACAAATTATTTAGTCAAATAAAAGTCTTAACGGAAAAGTGAATTATTTTGAAATATTCAGGGTTGTTTTCAATGAGAAAAAATGTCTTGGCAGACTGTTTTCGTGAGGTGAAATTACTACGAACGAAAAGGCTGTCCTCTTAAGAAAATATTTGCTTACTAACATTTGACTCCATTTGACAAATGAGTCAAATCAAAATCAAATCCACCAGGGGGTGCAGAAACTCATGCAACACTATTTGCGCCGAAACTTAGCCGAAATGAATCAACAGCTCAACATTCAACTTCTACACGAATTCATACGGTCAATTCAGCAAGATGAGTCCTCCTACTACTCCTAATAGAGCTTCTAGATACCAAGAAGCTGATACTGTCAAGAAATCTCGATTTTTCGAAGCCTACAACTTGCAAGCGTGAACAGCGAATTCGAAGAAGAAGATAGAATAATCTTAAACAGCTCAAGGAGGTCTTACAAGAGGAATAAGCCAATATTACTATACAGAAGGTTTGAGCTTATATTACTGAGATGCCTCCTTGATACAGAACCCTAGCAAATTCAGGTGGAAAGGCTATTAGATCGTCTTTGTGGTGATAATGATAATAAGTTTGTAGCAAATTATCTATTTCGGCTAAATTTCGGCGTAAATAGTGTTGCATGAGTTTCTGCACCCCCTGGTGAATCGACTTCTGGGATTAGGTAAGCAAATCAAATACGCGTCAAGATTTGGTTTATTTGATTTGATGGATACCCTGCCTATGACTTAGGTTGGTACCAATACCAGTTATCAGTAGACCTTAATGTTACCAAATTACTGCTTGTCATCTTCATCTTTATTTTCATCTTCATCTTCTCCTCTGCTTCTCTGTACCGGTATCCATGGTTGAACCCTCTCAAGAGCAGCTACCAGGTCGTAGGTAAGAAAGTGTTGACTTCTGAGAGGACCAATTGGCCAGGTTTCATACGCGTAATTCCTGGGTTTCCCCTGTTAGAGGATGTAGCAAATAGCGTACGGAGATACCAATTGAATTGATTGAGTTACTCCTATCAAGAGGAGCATTTGCTCACACTAATAGCTATAGAAGCGCATTATTGCAACAGCTCAGAAACAGCATTTGGCGTTCAATTCGTATAGCAATGCTCACTGCCATAAATAACAGGGCGTAAAAGTTACAAGAGCGTTTCGTGCGTTTCGCATGCGGGGACCCCTGTATCATCCTGCTAATACGTAACAGATACGTATCGTATGCGCAGGGATTCTGACATCCTCTGCTTTCGATTGGTCAATTTTTACTTCAATTTGGCTTCTAATTTCGCTATACTCCGTACAGCACAGCCAACTGTACATAGATGTACTACGGTAAGGCCACAGCAGTGCCGCTAACCGGTCGAAGCTTAGTTGTCTCGTTAAGAGTCCGTTCTGAAGCAAAAGTACTAGCGCCGTGCTATTATTACTTCTGCCCGATACCGTAGTGCGGCCTTTACCCACCTATCTATCGAACAACTTGCTTTTCTACACACTGCACAGCAGGTTGACAGAGAGAATGCCAGGATTCCAGGCACATAATTTGGACCGTGACATAAATACTTATCTCCTCACCTAGGCACAAGACGCAATACCACCACGGTACATAGAAATGTCTTGCATATTACTTGGCGAGCTGGGGTAGACGCTCTTAGTAATTAAGAATGACTCTTTCCGCTCACACAAGCTCGCCTATCATCAAGCCTGTCACCTGAAGATGCAAGTAGCATTGCCAATTCACCAATGAGGCATCACAGCCATCTCAACATGTACACAAAGTAGTATAAAAGAAGTCGGGAACGCAAGGTAGGTGGCTGTCATGTCTATTCTTCACTGTCTACCATCTCCCCAATTATCTCCCCCCTCCCCCCGACCTGCCTTCTCAGAAATCTATAATGCTCATCCTCATTGCCGGAAGAATCACCGGCAATGTTGGTTGACACGCAGCCCGAGCCGGCCTGAAGCGAGGCCACCATCCGGGGCATGGGCCGTTCTCCAAACAAACTCGATCGCACCATCTACTCGGGACTCGAACCATTCGCAGGGTCGAAGACCTACTACGACATCCCAGCACTGGAGCTTGCGGTGCGCGACGTCGATGGCGTGATCTGCGCGTCTGCCGGCCATCCAGAATTAGCACTCGATGGCCAGCGATTGCCCCTCTAAGCTGCCGAGCGGGCTGGCGTCAAGTTTGATCGGACCAGCATACCTCTACGTCAGGCAAAAAAGCACAATCTTTGCTCACGAGGCGATGATATGAAAGTTCAACGCTTCCTGGCCGCCTCCTAGAACTACGACTACCGCCGCATCTCGCTCCACGACGAAAAAAAATCCAAGACCCGCACATCTGCTTCCACGCTCAGGTCAGCACGCACACGCTCCACACCCTGACCGGCATCCTGGCCGAAGTCTTCTTGGGCTCGCACCGTGAAGACCAGGGCTTCACGCCCGCTGGTGACGGAGTCTAGGATCCAGCACCACCACTGCATATCTCTGTCCCTGCCGAAGCTCGGCCAGAGCCAAGAGTGAGAGCAATGGACGTCTACGGCACGGGCAATGAGCCCTGGTTCTTCACCACCGAAGCCGATACCGGCGCCTTCAGCGTCGAATCCGTGACTGGCCCCGGTGCACTCGCTACGCGAGGTTCGCGAGATTTTATCGCAAGGACCGTCCTGGAGCGCTGGTTGAGATTACGGCAAAGGGGTCGATGGAGGAGCTAGAGAAGGAGACGATTGCAGGTAGGGAGATGTGCGGCAGAGGCAGGTTCTAGGAGTATTATCGCTTGTTCTTCCAGCTGTTCACGATCAAGGGAATCTGAAATCTGGGGAGATTGGATAATGAGAAGTATCTAGGTGTGAACGCGATTACTCTGGAATGCTTTCTGCAGGCGAACCCTGAAACTTAAGGTAGAATGTCAATATATATTGGAAATAGTCTATGAGTACTCTATGATCCAAAGGAGTGTTTATGCATGGTTTTCTGGCGCGATATAGTATCCCAATCTAACAGAAAGACTCCCTCTAGGCCGCCTGCACAACGGGTGTGGAAACAGACTTCCTAGTCTTGCCTAGCGAGTCTGATAGAACTGAGTTGCCCTTTCGATATACCAGTTCAGTTCCGGCTGATAAGCGGAAACAGGTCGAGCTGATGTGAGAATGGTGCCGTTGTGTCTCGGGTGGACCTCGAGGCCGGCGAACCGGTCGCCGATCCAGTCCATCCAGAGTCGTTGGGAAGCGGTTAATGCAGGCACATGGGAGATGCCGGGAAGACGAACAAAATCAAGTTGTGACGAGGGAAATTGTTCCAAGGTCTCGTTAACAGCCTGCGTGCTCACCTCTACGCTGAGGCTTGTATCGGTCTCGCCGTGCATGATAAGCAAAGGGCCTTCGATCTTCTTGCCGCCATTGACCGTCAGTTTTTGATATTCCTGGACGTATCTGTTCGCTGTCCAATCAGGCTTGAGTAGCTGAACGCCCGCGAGAAGTGTGAGAGTAGTCGTGGTGCACGCTCCGACCTGAAGTATCAGATCGAGACGCTCTTCGCCCTCTGGAGTCAAGATGTCCCCGGGCTGGAACTCCGGAAACGTGGCAGCTATCCCAGGAATCATGCCCACTGCGAGGAAGCTCCGGATCGGGTCAGGCTCGGCCAGCGGATCTGTCACTGGGGCCACAGCAACCGCTCCCAGATATCCTTCGACAGGGTCAAGGGCCTGTCGTTGGGCTGCAGCCCAAGCGGCACCGCCTCCCTGGGAATGACCGATGATGACAAACTTGTTAGAAAGTTCCGGAAACGCAGATTTCGCCGCTTGCACGCCGTAGAAAACGTCATTTGCATGGCTTGGGCTGGCTAGATATTCATGGACAATTCGTTTCCCTGAAGCATCTCTCTCTACCCCAAGACCAGCATAGTCTACCGCGATAACAACGTAACCTTGAAGAGCTGACTGGTAAGGGCCTAGAAAGTGCTGCCAGAGATGCTTCAGGTGAGAAGGTGCGCAATTGGGAGAAAGGCCGCTTGTGCCATGTGCCCAAGCGACGATTGAGAAGCCGTCAGACAGGTTCCGAGGCGAGTACGGCCACAGAATGAATCCTGACACCGGAACAGCGGAGCCATTGAGGGCTTTTGATTGAAAGATGAAGCGTGACAACGCAGTGGCCGGAGGGATAGTAAAGAGCGTGGAGTCGACCTCCCGTTCAAGCTTGATTAAAGTACCAGGCGCGGCATCCTTGGAGCTGGGGAGAACAGTGTAGAACGAGTCGTCCAGAACTGAGCCTGTCGCCCATTGGGATTCTTCAAATTCGAGCGAGGCGCGTGCAGAATCTGGCAGAGTTACATTTAGCTCGTCCCTGCGGCGACTATCGTTAACTGCGGCTGATGCATCCATGGTGAGAGCATAAACTCTAGATATCATCAAGATAACCAATAGAAACGTAGGGAGAGCTCTGAATGAACTCATAGGCAATAAGCAGTCAGGGTGTGATATATCATCCAAAAATGCTAAAGTGCAGCTTGCGAAAGGTATTCATAGCCTTACAACTCTTGTGAGTAGACCCACATTCATGCATAGCAGTGGCACAAGGCCCATGGTCAAGCCCCCCATCAGCCTAGCGAACCATTTCTTGCGCGACGGATTCAACTTTATGCATGCAGATGGATGAGGAAGTTGGAAGCGTAAGTAGATTGCCTCGGTCCACATAAGAGGACCTCTCTCAAGGTTCCTCTCGTGAGATGTCTATCAAAGTAGGGATCATTGTTGGCAAGATATAGTTAGAAGTTGTAGGTCACTCAAATTCTTAGCGAATGAGTGTCCTTCCAGGTCCGGGTTCATCAGTATGCAGTTGATCTTATCAATCCCAGTTTCTTTTATGGATCAATTATAATGAAGGAGACGGTTTTTCATTTGTCCGAATCCAGCAAGCTTCTCCTCACATTGAATTCGTCATTTCAATGAAAGCCACAATGTCACCAATCCTGAGCCCGTCATTTCAAGCTGCGCGGATGATATTACAATATCACATACAATATGACACCTTCCGTTCTAATCCTTTCATGAAGGCCACTTTCAAATGAAGCTATTTTCCGAGCCGCCGCCTCGTAAAAGGACGTGATTCTGGTTGCTACTGAGTATATTTGCATAGACTCTATTTCCTTACCCAACCAGCTAGCGATCAAGTTTCGCAGCGAAACCTTCCTAATGGAGACCACCCTGCAAGTGTTAAGAGGCAGTGGAGTGGTAGGTGTCTCCTGCTTGTCACACTTTGTTTGATAAGGGCGAGTAGTAAATGTTCTACATATTGTGAACAACTAATCAAATCTACTCTCCCTGCCCATTTTCTTGTCTCTAAGCTGCAAAAAATGGTCAAGATACCTCTGCTCATATTGGGGCGGACATCCTTACCATGTACCTAAACACAACTCGGTAAAACTGAAGCATGCCTTTCTCAAAGAAATATAATTCATCTGAGCCAACACTCGAATACGCTTCAGCTCGATCAAAATCAACGCAAACCACTCTCCCATCCGTAATCAGTAGATTTCTGGAGATCATTTCAGTTGTGGTCACCGTGCTCCACCAGAGCCTTCTGGATCTGCTGCAGGCCATCAAGCGCAGTGCAGGCAAGCTCATGTGTGAGTCTGTGCGATTGAAAGCGGTGCGCATTCGGTAGGTATTCGAGTAGCAGGGCGCATCGACTGTAGGTCAGGCTATCCTCGCTGGATGATGAAGCTGCATCAGAGCCAAATTGATCGTCGTCCAGTACCCAGTTCCAGCTCTTCTCAACCGATGGTGGGCGGAAGTCGACGTCCAACTCGAGCATTCTCTTGTCTCTTTCATTGTTCCAGTTATATGATGTAGGTGCAGCCCGTTCCGGAGGTAGACGCTTGGGCAAGCGGGAGGCGTTACCATCCTCTCGCAGCTCTACCGTGAACGTGTCCTCGGGCCCAAAGCAGGTAGGTTCTTCTACGCCCATAAAAGCCTCGGGTGTAACTTTTCTCCATCCGTAACAATGCAGGATGCATGATTGTACATTGAAGGACCGCAGATGTGCGTAGGTGGCCTTCTCTGCCTTGGATAAGGGTGCTCGCTTGTGCTTAAAAAGTCAATTCATGGGTGCCCTCGCTGGTGTTCCAACTCACGATTTTTAGGACAGTGAGAGGATGATTAGGGAGTTCGACCAAGGCGAGATCGCTGCCGTTGCTTCGGTATAACCACCTTACAAACCGGAAGTTGAGTTTATCGTCAAGCTCTGGGAAGGGTTTGGAGCCAGCAGGTACACGGCTTGGAAATTCTCCAATGTCCAATTCACAAAAGAATTTAGCTTCATCCTTTTGACACCATTCTAGCCGCTGGAGGAGGGTTGTGGTGGGGATGGTGTATTGCCTTGCTTGCACAGTTATTAACATTAATGGTGCTGGATTCGCGAAATGATTGTGACGAGTCTGGATGTGCTTCCCAGGTTTCACTGCATGTTACTTACTACTCTGTGTACCCTTCTGGTATTACGCATCATAGACCCTGCTCATAGATGGTTCAAAATCACCCGAATCACTTTCCGTCGTCTCGGAAATTTTCATGAAGTGAGAGTAAATCTGACTATATCTTCTGTCATGAAGTCTCGTTGAACTGTGAGAGTGCTAAAGGCCACATTGTGTCTGCTTAATCCCTGCTAAAGTACCCACCTGTCTTTGGCTGAATTCGAGTGTTCATTTCTGAGAGGACTACGGCGGACTATCATTGGGTTGACGACACATCAAAATTCTGAATCTCAAAATCAGTTTTGGGGTTATGTGGTTCTCGTTTGAGGCTCCGGCCCTACTCTCTAAGGCCTTACCCTCTTGGGGCACCCTCTTGGGGCACCTTCTTCTGGCACCCACCCTCTTCTTGCATCCTCTCCTTACATCCTCTCCTTGCATCTTCTTCTTGCATCTTCTCCTTAAGACAATTTCTACTTAAGGTACCTTCTGTATCTATAATAACTTAAGTTCTTAGTATTTTGTAAGATTGTACGACTCTAATTCATAAGAGGAATGTTACCAAATTGATTTTGAAGTTCAAAATTTTGATGTGTCGTCAACCCAATAATAGTCCGCCGTAGAGGACTCTGTTTATCTATACTATATCCTGAAGTATCCCTTGGGATACAACAACAAGGCGCCAATTTCCGTTCAGTCCGTGCAACTGTTCAACAAATCTCCTTCCCAGCCAGAAATTGCTATCATGACCACCTCCACTACCGCCACCACCCTCCGCCCCGCTAAGTTCTCCGAACACCCCCGTATGGCGCAAATCTTCTCTTCTGCCTTCCGTGAAGAATCCGTCTTCGGCGTGATCATGAACCCGCACCGGCACCAGTACCCCGCCGACATGGCGCTCTGGCCTCTGCGGCGCAACCGGCTCAATCACTGGGATTGGACGCATCGGTTCCTTGTCACTACCATGACGGATCAGGTGACCAAGAGGGAGGTGATTACCGGGTGGGCGGAGTGGGCTCGATGGGGGAAGGAGGGGAAGAGGAAATGGGGGCTTAGCTGGTGGGATCCTAGTACGTAACCTTGGATTTTTCTTGATCTGGAGTAGAATATGAGATTGCTGCATTTAGATTTACGATATCAGGGGGCTCCAAGTGCCCACTTGTGTGGAAAGTGTGCAGAGCTACTCTCATCATACGTATACAGATCAGGTGTTCTCCACCCACTGACAGCGGTTTCTACCAAACCAGGAAACCTGTTGAAGCCTCTGACCATCCTCTTCAACCGTCTCAGCTCTCTTGTCTATCCTAATCGCGCTATTGATCCAAGCAAGGAGGACATTCTCGAGAGGGCGTTTCCCTATTTTGCCGAGCTTTGGTCGGGACCTCGCGCCGAAACATGGTATCTCGCGGCGCTGGCTGTGGATCCTAAGTACCATGGCCAGGGATGTGGGCGTAAGCTGGTGAGATGGGGGTTGGAGCAGGCGACGAAGGAGGGTGTTTGCGCTAGTGTGATCAGTGCGCATGGGAAGGAGAGGTTCTACCAGAGATGTGGCTTTGACGTGCAAGAGGGCAGAGCTGGGCAAGGGGAGGGGAATCCTTTGAGCGAGGGAGCTGGGGGTTTGATCTTCTGGAAAGAGCCTGATATTCAAAAGGAGACGTGACCTGAAATGCCAAGTTGCCATGTTGGATACTATTGGCTTCATGTTGTGGCACCAATTGGTGGCGATCGAGAGCGAATCACCGAATGGACATAACAAGCTGCACAGGATGATCTTTGTAACTTAGCAAATGGCACCCCATTCTCAATCACCGTGGTGCCGCCTTCCTTTCATCCCGCACAAGACTACTCCCGGAAGCTCAGGGAAGTACCCATTCACAGGGAATGATGACTAAGTGGTCAAACGCTGAGAAGACATTTAGGCGAGAACACTGTCCAGGTAGACGAGTGCTGCCAGTGTTGTGGCACCCCTATATGCTAAGTGCTAAGATAACAAACACGTTTGGGGAATGTTGTTGTTGAAGGAAGCTTGATGATCAGATCAAGTGGCAGTGTTCCGAAGGCGCCAAGGCCATAGATGGAGAGTACTCTTGGCATTTGCGGACTGAAACTTCGAATTTGGGAAAAAAAAAAGTCGAGCTTCAAGTCAAATTTCAGGTTGCTTCAGCACGATATGAAATTGGACTTCGGCAGCTTTGGAGTCATCGATCTCCAAAACGCCTAGTTCACAATTATGGAGGTGTTGAAGGAGAATGACGGTGGCCAGCTAACCATCCACAATTTGCAACCCCCAGCGCGACGAAAGACACCTACCACAGCATTGAGCCCAGAAGAGAAGGAGAACCAGAAGCGACTTGCCGAAGCCCAGCGGTCTTATGGTAGGGGCAAGCCTATTCCAACAGGTCTAGTTAAAGATCGGAAACTCAGAGCGAACCTCAAGCGTCTCGAATCCAAGTACAAAGATGCAATCCTCGCCGCCAAAGATGCGGAAATCTTGCTAGAAAATCAGCAAGGTTTCCTGCAGCCCGAGAACGATCTAGAAAAGACATACAAAATCCGGCAGGATGAAATACAAAAGGCTGTCGGGGTTCAGCAGGCCAAAAAAGCTATTGAGCTGAGGCTTGACATGGGTCCATATGTGGCAGAATACACACGAAACGGACGAAATCTCCTGCTAGCAGGTCGAAAAGGTCACATAGCAACCTGTGAATGGAGGGCTGGTAAGCCAGGTTGCGAGCTACACCTCAATGAGACGGTACGGGATGCTACCTGGCTCCACAACAATCAGTATTTTGCCGTAGCTCAAAAGAAACACACCTACATCTATGACCACGCCGGGGTCGAGATACACTGCTTGAATCAATACGTTGAGGCCACCCATCTCTCTTTCTTGCCATACCACTTTCTCCTCGCGGGAATCGAAAACAGTGGTTATCTTCGCTACACTGACACATCAACCGGCCAAATCGTTGCCCAACATCCAACTCGAAAAGGCTCACCCACAGCATTCGCCCAGAATCCCTACAACGCCATCCTCCACGTCGGCCACCAAAACGGCACCGTCTCCCTATGGTCTCCCAACTCCACAACACCGCTCGTCAGAATCCAGGCCCATGCTGGACCCGTCCGTTCAGCAGCCGTTGACCGCTCAGGCCACTATATGCTCTCTGCGGGCCAGGACCTCCGCCTCAAACTCTGGGATATCCGCACTTTCAAAGAGATCCACTCCTATAACACCTTCCACCCTGCCTCGTCAATATCCATATCCGACCGCGGCCTCGCCGCCATCGGCACGGGCACCTCCGTAACCATCTGGAAAGATTTCTTCACCAGCGCCTCCAACACTATCAACCACCCCACCAAAATCCAATCCCCCTACCTGACCTGGCACCACACCCAGAACCCCACCCCCATCTCCCGCGTCAACTTCTGCCCCTACGAAGACATCCTCGGCATCTCCCACACCACCGGTTTCAGCAGCATCCACGTGCCTGGCTCCGGCGAACCCAACTTTGACTTCCTAGAAGCCAACCCTTACGAGACGGTCAAACAACGCCAAGAAAGCGAAGTCAAAGCGCTCCTCAACAAACTCCAACCGGAAACCATAGCCCTCGACCCGGATTTCGTGGGCAAGTTGGACGTGCGCAGTGCGGAGCAGAGAGCTAGAGATAAAGATCTCGACGCGCCCAAGAGGGATGAGCTGGCCGAGTTGAGGGAGAGGGAGCTGAAGGAGCGGAATCGCGGAAGGGGCAAGAATAGTGCTGTGAGGAGGTTCCTCCGAAAAAAGGGGGGCAAGAACGTGATTGATGAGAAGAGGCTTCGGTTGGAGGCGTTGAAGAGGGAGAGGAAGGAGAGGGTTGGTGCGAGGGTGGGGCGCGAGAAGGCGCAGTTGGGACCGGCGCTGGGGAGGTTTGTTCGGAGGGATGGGTAGCTTGAAATACGGTGGGATGACGGGATGCACTTATTTGGTTCTTTGGCCTGTATGCTGCTAGCAGGAGGATAGAACAGGAGGGACATGTAGCTGAGAAATTGACGAGACGTAGATAAGCTATGCTCCCGAACCTGTTTCTGCAAGATCTAGTTCTGCAAGAGAACAGGTCGCTGAATTTCCATCTTCGGCGCTTTGAAACCCATGACTCAAAGCATTGATCTGCAATGTATAAGGTCATAGGGCCAAGACCACCGCCATGAGTTCCCGGTAGACTTCGTCTTTACCGGCCTGTGAGCATCTTCTGGGTCTGGTCGGGATGGGCTAGCTGGGTTGCAGGATGGTTCGCCCTGACGATCCCTTGATACCTCTGGCGATAATACGTTCCACCTCGATACTGTGGCTGCATTGTGTATTTGGCCCTGCTTGAGTAGAGGAAGAGGAAGAGGAAGAGGAAGAGGAAGAAAGGAAGAGGAAGAGGAAGAGGAAGAGGGCTCCCCCACACGAGTGATCGATTGCATCTATAAATTCTTCAAGGGTTTGAAGTTTGGGCTTAAAAAGATAAATAGCACGGTCCAAAGACCAGCACACAAGTTGGAATTGTGAAAGGGTTATTAAACTTAACTCCCACCTACGACCTTCCTTGCATCGGCCACCACGGTGCGAACAATCCTCTTCAGCTCGCCTCTCCAAATCCCACTCCCTTCGCGCCACTTCTCCCATTTCCCCAAGTCCTCGCTGGCTTCGATGTTCAGCGTCTCGTAGCCTTGCTTGATGACTTTTTGGACTGCGGTGGGCGACTGGTGTGCTTTCTTGCTGGCGGCATGCTGGGCTTGGAGCAGGTCGTGGTAGTGGGTTGATACTGAAATGAGGATTTTGATTGCGGAGTCCTGGGTATGGTGCAATGATGATGTGGTGGTGGTGGTGGTGGTGGTGGTGGTGGTGGTGGAAGGAGTGATGGTGGAGGTAGGGACGGGTTTTGAGGTTGACGTGACAGAATCATAGTAGGCGTCTCGGAATTTGGTGAGAAGAGGAGAGCCTGTCTCGATGAGTTTGTAGAACAGGTCGTCGTAGTCAGAAAGGTTGGGGAGAAAAGCGTCACCGGTGGATAGGCAGAAGGCGATCAGATCGCAGAGAGGTGTGCAGACTTCGTGGCGGATGTTGTGGATGTTGCTCAAGTCGGTGGAATATTGCGTGAGGAAACGGAGGGAAGAGAAGAGGGTCCCCCAAATGTGAGACCAATGGTGGGCAAGACGTAATTTGTTGCGGCTGAGATGTGTGGTCAATCGAAGGATGATGCCAAGAGTTACTGAATAAAGAGAGACGTCTAGGCGGCGGCGAAGGTTATGGCTGATGGTATCGGTACAGATATCGAGGATGACTGAGGCTGGAACCCGCTCGGCGGTAACCAAGGGCGGGTGGGGAGGTCTTTGACGGCAAAGACGAACGGCTGTCTTGAACTCGTCAGAAGAGAGCCGTTTGACCAAGACGGTATCTTCGACCAGAGTTTGGATAGTAAGCATATTCAGCAAAGTATAATGCAGACATCTCTGTGATCGATGTGCGTGATGGGATAGATATGAGATGAATGATAGAAATACAGCAAATGGTGTCTCCGTTGAATTGTGGCGAGACAAAGAAGCCAACGTCGAAGCGAAGAGCTTGTTGGCATAGACAAATGAGTACGCCGGTAGAGATATTGAGGCTTCGGTAGGTGGAAGGGCATCAAAAAGTTCTTTGGCCTCTTCTTCGGTTTGTGGAGCTTTTTTCCTTTTCGCTTCTGGAGCCAATGCCCGAAGCCCGACATAGACGAGCGCACTGTTGAGATTCCAACCTTCTGGTGCATCATCATGTACCGCTATGTAGCTGTCTCGACTCAAAGCGCAAGCGTGGGTAATACCACGGACTATAGATTGAATGGTCTTCTCGTTAACAAAATCTTCCAGGCGGTTTTGGTATGGGTTCTGAAATTCGAACTTATTGTAATTGCCCAGCAGCCCCAATAGAAGCAGGGGCTGAAAGCAATATGAGGGCTCATCGCAGTCTCTGACATACTGTAGACATTAGTGACATGCAAGACAACATTGAGAGAAAGGCTCGTTACCTTCATCAACGCTGGAAAGAGATCTCGGTGGGTGAGGTAGGAGATCAATCCAGTCTGATATGCTCCAGCTGCAAGAGCCAATGCTGTTTCGATTGCTTTCCCACGAAGCTGAACTACAGCAGATCAGTCATGCTTCTTAGAACATCTGACCAACTTACTGTTGTCTCCATTCCGAACGAGATCATCAATGCCACTGACCAGATCAGACACTCTCCTGTCCACCCCGTCTAGGCCGGCCAGCACGGCAATGGCATCGGAGCTAGGGTTGGTGTATTTCTTGCTCAACACGCCACCTAGAAAAGCAGTCAAGTTCTGCCCGACGTGGTAAGTCAATGGGGCTAACATTGAGAATAGCTGGTCCAACCTCGAGAGCATGCTGATTCCGCGGTGTGGTTTCACTGCGTATTTCTTCTATGGCACGAATGAAGAATAATTGCGTCCGCTCCTGATCACGCTCGCTTAGATGCAAGACTCAGAAAGACGGCGACAGCAGAACGTACTTGTACATGGAGGATATCATCTGCAGTCAGGGGCTCCAAGACCCGACGGAACTGGGTTTTGTCTGGCGGTAGCAAAAAGAATTCGCGCCAGAAGCCTTCGGAAGGGGGAACATGATCTCTGATCTGGTAAACATGACTTTATACTCGAATTCCCCTGCATTTAGGGTCTCACATTGAATAGATCCTGATAGAGCTGCACAATTTTTGGCTGGAAATAATCCGGTCTCGTCTGCTGCGTTAAGGGTGATGGTTCCATATCGAACAGGTGGAGGGATGCAGGGGCTCTGAGAGAGATATCATGATCTCGGTCAGCAGCAATGAGCCATGGGCGAGGGCAGGGTCTTCCAATTGAGTAGGTTGAGGTTGACAGGCATTGTGGTGGTTGAGAAGATGTCCGCCACATCCCCTACACCGCCACACAACGTTACATGGCTTGTACAGCCTGCCACAGTTTGCTTTAACAACTAATCGATTGTGATTGGCCATAAAGTACAGGCACATCCTCGGGGTGCACGGTCAGAAAACGGCTTTGTCACACAGCACGTTTGATGATTAATGATGCTCTTCTCCCTCCATCAGCACCATTTCCCTACCACCGTCACCTATAAACCGAGCAGAACTACCCATAACGTCTATTTACTGGTCGCTCGCTCGTCTCTCATACGTCGATATCCGGTGCCCATGTCTCTCCAACGAAGCTTGTGCCCTGTGACATCATCCTCGATCTTCTTCAAAGCGTTGGCCACAGTGTCGACTTCAAGATCATGTCCTTACGCCCCACGATTACTTTCCACCTCTAGAAGACACGGCCAATCCTCGAAGCGCGAATTATATACCGCTCCTGCATATCGACCATACAGTCTTCCTGATTCAATCCCACCACCGCCACGAAACACTGGCATACCAGATGCCTCTATTGCTGGACCGAAGCCAGAGCTCAATGATACCAGACCACCGCCGACACCGCAATCTGGGGAACTAGAGGCTCAGATATCTGAAGAAGCAGCAAGCATCAGTCTACCAGTTCGAGGCCCAGAAGTCGAGAACAGTCCAACCACCTAAACCAGCCACCCCCCAAACCGCAGAGACGAAACCTCAACGTAAGAGCAAGCTCAGGCCAAGGAAGGCCGCAATAACCATCACCCCTCCAGCTCTACACCACCTCCGTGACCTGCTGGAGCAACCCGAACCGAAAATGATCCGAGTTGGAGTTAAGAACCGAGGTTGCTCTGGCTTAGCCTACCATCTAGAATACGTTGAGAAGCCGGGTGCTTTCGATGAGGTGGTGGAACAAGATGGCGTCAAGGTTCTGGTTGACAGCAAAGCGCTCTTCAGCATTATCGGGAGTGAAATGGATTGGCAGGAGGATAAACTAAGCACGAGATTTGTGTTCAAGAATCCGAATATCAAGGAACAATGCGGATGCGGCGAATCTTTTATGGTCTGAACAGCATTTCTGGCGAGGCTTGTTCCATTTGAGCATTTCCAGGCGTTTGATAGACACCGGGAAAGAATGAAGATTAGTTCAGAAGGAATTACGTCGTGGAAGGAGCCTCTGAAATGTCTTATATGCGCTAACAACCATCCATTACACCTATATCCACAGATCTACGAACCGCACAAATCCCTTTCCACCTTACAGTCGTGTTCTAACTCATCCATCATCACTGACCTATTACAATACGAACATGCTCACTTTTGGTCTGGTCTCTCAAAATACACCAGGTTCATAATCCAGCGCCCTCACCTCGTCCGCATATCCATGTCCCAAAACCCATTCCACGAACGCATGGTGCGCCTTATCCTCCGAGACATAGTAGTCCCGATCGGCCTTAGAATCGAACTCTACCACAAAGCCATGTGTGAATCCGCCCTTTTCAATTCACTTCGGGTCAGCTTGAGGAGATGTACACAATTGGTATTACAGTCATTGCACCATGAGGGGGGTCCGGGAAAGGACAGAGCAAAATACAGGCCGTGAACGAAGCTGGGAGAAGAACTAGATAGGAAAGGGGTGTTTACCTGTAATCCTTCTGTACTGTTATCCTTCCCACCTGACGAGCGGAGGATATACGGTCTCTGAGTGGTGGGGTGGATACACTCGGTTTTCAGATTCAGCATGCGCGTGCAGACCTGTAACAAATATCTACCATCAACCAACTGGCTAGAAGTCGAAGAGCATCTTGAAGTATGATAGTAGAATTATTAGGAATTTGCTGGGAGGGGAGAGAATATGGTGATCGGATACTGACCTCTTGTACTGTCGCCTCGTCCAGCGAGGATTTGAGCTTGAAGAGGACAATGTGCGTGATTGTCATTTTCGATTAAGTACTCAGTCTTGAAGGTTGGAGATAGAGAAATCGCTGCGGTATGGCAACGGTTATGACACCTTATATTTAGAAGCAAGCATGGTTGTTTACTTCGATAGATATGCGGAGTACTGTACTCTGTACGTAGTACTACATCGCTATCTCATGCATGCAATGCGGGGGACGATCTGTCCGCTGTGCCCCTCACTCAATTGGACCAATTAACATATCTTCGCGGCAGGCATCCTACTGGTTTGGCAATATCACAGCGCGCTTCTGGCTGGCGTACATGAAATAAACATCGCTGGGTCGGTGTACCCTCGTCGAAAGGAGCTTCCTCAGGAGCTTCCTCGGGACCAAACCCAAGGAAGACACTACCTGATCCCAAAGAAACTTCTCTACCTCTCTCCTCTCCCCTCTCCCCTCTCC